TGGGCATGTCCTTCGCACCTGGCAAAGAAAAGCTTCCACACCCATTTTAGAGACAAGCTCAAGCTGCTCGAATCCCAAGTTTGCTCGCCTGTTTTTTTCGGGCTCAGGCCAAACCGCCGCCTTTCTTGCCGCTGCCAGCACCCACAAGTCTTCCCAAGGCATCGGAAACTGCTGCTGCGCCCCTAAGCCTTGCAAAGTCCCGAGCCTTCGGCGCTTGTGGCGAATCAATCAGACGGCTGCTAGTGGGCTTGGTCCTTGTTCAGGGTGGGTTGAGGCTGTGCTGATAAGAAGCTACTGGTTGTCTTGATTCCGTGGAAAACGCCGGCTTCGCGCTGTGGAGACGTTTGTGGCTGGCATGTCTTGTCATGTGCACTGCCACCAACGCAAAACGGCAAGACTGCTTTGCCTCACAATTGGAGAAACCAGAAAATGGCTGATCCCTCTTAGGCTCCCCTTAAACCAACTAAAAAGAGAACCCCTCCAACAACAAAAAAAAAACACCCAAGTCTGTTGTCCCCTCCGGCCAGGCTGCTCCACCGCCTCGCCGTCTTGCCAAAGACCAAGCTCATAGTGCAGCAGGTCCGAGCCGCCATCTCGCAGCGTCTGACATCGGGGCACAGGCCCCCGCGAGGCCAGCTTGCTGGATTAAAGATGATCCCTTTCTCTCTCGTTGTACTCATATCTCATATCTCTCTTTGTTACTTTTCACACTCTCTCTCTCTCTCTCGCTCTCTCTCTCACTCTCTCTCTCTCTCTCTCTGACTCTCTCCCTGACTCTCTCCAACAGTTGAAACGAATTGGCACAAGAGATCACGGCACAGTCCTCGCTTTCCAATAGTCTGCAATACTGAGGGAAGACACTGTGCTTCGAATTGCTTGCTTGAAAGGCCTGGACAAAAGAGCTTTCTGAGACGAACTCCATAGGATATGTCCTTTGCCGTTGACAGCCTTGCCGTCCCTTCCCAGCCTCAGCCCATGTCACTGTAAGCGTGTCCTTTGTCTGCTCAGCCAAGGTGACATCCGAGGGTGGCGCTGGTGGGACACTCATGACCTGCATCGATGCCGCCCCACTGAGACACAAATTTTCAGACACAAATTTTCGCCTGCTCCGACCCCATGCCCCGCTCCTGGATGAAGAGCGGCTGGCTCAGCGCGGTCAGAGGTGTCTCCCCATCCTCTGAAGCGAAAAGCCGCAGCTGCCAACAGGCCTTGCCAACTGGGGCGATCACCACAACCCCTCCGCTTTGATTGCGAACGCGTCCTGCTTCTCCGTTTTGCTCCAAACAGCTGCAAAAACCAAAACCTCATTCCATGAAGCATTCTGCTTGCATCACTCATGACCTAGATGAGGGGACCATAGGGTGCAAGTACGCAGGCGTTCGCAGAGAAACCGTTCGATCGTAGACGAAAGGCCGTCAATCATCGGGTTTTGCAACGTCGGTCGGGCCTGCGAAACTTGCTAAAAGAGTTCACTGGCGCAAAGTCCTTCCCCACCGCCCCAAACTCAAAGGAAAAGGAAAGGCACCCATGACACTGGCGGTAACTAGTAAAAACACAAAGAAGAAAGGGCCTACTCAGGACGACCCATCCCAGCGCGCTCAAAACCCATTCCCACCCTAAGGACGTGCCCAGGCGCTAGGGCTGCACAGGCACGGGGCGCCCGCAGCGGCACCGCGCCCCCGAAGGGGTCCAAGGGCGCGCGGCTCGCGGGCACTGGCTCCTAGTGAGCCACTCTGCTCCGACGCGTTGGACTCCGTGCAGTGCCAAAACACATCACAGTTGCGAACATGTAGGATGCAAATTGGCAGGGCGAGTTTCAAAAGCAAAAAAGCAAAGTGTGTCAAACACATTCACCCATCTGGATCCGAGCCGGCCTCGTGTCCAGCCATTTCAGGCTGCGGCACCAGCGCCACGAAAGGCTGGCGGCCGAGCTGCAGCTTGCCTTGGACCTTGGAGCGGGAAATCGACGCGTGCCCGGAAAGGAAAATCTCCGGATGGGATTTTGGCAAGCCGATTCAAAAGCAGTGCCTCCAAACGTAGATGTACCAGATTTCGGCATGCTTTGTATGGAGGTTGCAGCTAGCAAAAACAATCAGACTGGCCGCTCACTAAACCACCGACCGGGGGCGGGGGAGCAACAAAGGAGAACGAGCCTGCATCAAATGCGGCTGAACCTCACAGATGTCAACGCAACAAAGTCCCGATGCTCGACGTTCTTTTCAAGTGGTACCGTCAAGTGATCTCTTTTGAGCAAAACCTTTGGAGCGGAGCAGCCAGCGGAGGTAGACCGCCGCATCCCCAATACCCGAAGTCACCTTGGGCCACAAGATGGGCGCCATGACTCATTGGCTTACTGGCCCGGCTGAGCTCTCGGCTGAGGTTGTAGCTGACCCAGATCAGCTCGCCAGGAAGCCACAGGTTTTTGTTCACCAGCAGCCGGTCGCTGAGGTTCGGGAAGAGCCTCGAAGGGCCAAAGATGAATCATCTCTTTCCGATCCCCGGGTTTACAATCATCGCCATGTGTGCTTGCACTTGCTTCAGGCCAACGACCGGGGGCATGCAGCATGCACTTTCGCCATTCGTCTGAGCCAGACTGTCTTGAGCTTGCCGGGCCACCGATCCAGAGGGCTCAGCCCGGCCAAACGCTCAGACTCCGTGCGGGCTTCCACCTCGCCTGGGAATGTTGAACGATCGGATCCAACTAGGCACATGCCAGCTTTGCAAACACCCGCCCAACAGCGACTCGTGCTTTTGCGTCCGAGCCCCACATGTGCACTGAACAAAAGGCAGAGAGAGCCTCCACCAAAAGCAACCAAGGCATTACCACAGACCTCAAAACGGCCGACACTTCAAGCGCGAGGAGCTTAAGAGCTGGCACGCCGGCTTGCCGCGCAAAGCCCGCTGCCATTGCCTCCAGTGTGCTGTCGGTGCAGTGTGACCGAAAGACGCGTGGCACAAATCCCAATTTTCTCGTGGTTGTCGCAGGGCTTCAGTGAACCATGCCGCTGCTTGCGGCCATCTACATCCCAACTGGTGGCGGGTGACGCTCAGACGTTCGTCACAAGCGTTGCAGCGCTTGCTCCAAAGGGAGTCATTGCCAAAAGGCCACTAGTTGACTAACAAACCATGAAGTGCGTTCTATTGTCTTTCACCTTGTTCAATGGAAAACAAATGTGATCAACGGCGCCGGTCGTTGCTCAACTTGGTAAAAAGAACTCCCTCTCCGTCCAAAACCCCTCGCCTGGCGCTCAGCTTTCGCGGCCGGCCCAGCCTCAGCAACGTCCCATCCGCTCAAATGAGGAGCCCAAGAAGTTGATCAAGCACCGGACCCCCAAGGAAGAAGCAGCTCCCAACATTCGACGAGCGAGATAAACGAAGGTGAAAGAAAGACGGCTGGATAGTTGATTCTCCGAGCATCGTGCTCATATCAGGCGCAAAACCCTGAGTGAGGCCATGCTCACTTGGCTAGTGACCAGCCCAAAAAAGGTGGGAGAGCCACCAAGGAAAAAAGTGTGAAGTGTTCCACCGGCTGGGTGAGGCCAATTTCATGGCTCCACTCCAACTCACCCGCTACCGACTGCTGCCTCGCCACTTTGCCGCGTGGGTCTTGGCCATCTGCGTCGCGGGCGAGCTGCAGCGGCCATCGAGCTCGTCCTGGAGCTTGCAAGTCTGGCAAGCCACACAGGTTCATGTGCGCTGAGACACTTCGTTCTTGAGCAGCCTGAGTTGATTCCAAAGTTATGAAGGGGCACAACACAGGCGCTGAGACACTTCGTTCTTGAGCCTGAGTTGATTTTCCAAAGGTGGTCATAAAAGGCAATGGATGGAGTTGATTCCAAAGTTATGAAGGCAATGGACGGAAATGCCGTCCATCGAGTCTCAAAAGAAAGCAGGCAGCGTCCACAGGAACCGGCCTGTGCAGGGCCAAGGCGAAAGGCCGTCGAGAGGTCTCCCCACACACTGATTAGCCTCACCGCCAGCTCCTGGCATTCGACTTCTCAGGTGCGGCAACAGGAAAGGTGACGGCATGCTGTTTGCCCGCGTGTAGCCGCTCAAGGTTGTCTGGATGACTCTTCAAATGCATCTTTTGTTCTTTACCAGTACACTTCCCAGGTTTGTTGAAAATCAAGCCAACACAAAGGCGAAACCAAAATCCGCGTTCGGGCCTAAATCCTGACACATGCCGGACTTGAGCCGCGCTCGCCTGCAGCTGCCAGGGCTCCGCGGCATCGCAAGCCCCGGCCAGGCGTGGCCGCAGCGCCGCCTGCGCCAGGTACCCCGGCCTGGCGCTCGAGCTTTGGGCGTGGGGCCGTGGCCAAACTCTTCCACGGAAACATGAAGGGACCCCTTTGCTCCAGGGACCCCTGGGCCTACCAGCTACAGACCGGTTTTTCTTGGGGCTCTTTTTGTTCGAGTGCGCTTTTTGCTCGGAACCCGTTGGTCTCAACTCGTGGCAAGCAGAAGCTTGTTCAGGCCGCCAGCAAATGAACCCATGCGCATTGAAACCAGGCCGGCAAAAATATGGGTTGGCGCACTCATGTTAAAAGACATGACCCACACAGACCTGAATTTCATCCCAAGCCTTTAAGGGGCCGGTTGAGAACAACGGATATGATATGATCATGGAAGGCATCCAATTTCGGCCCAAGGATAAATCGAGCTGGGCCATACTTCCTCCATGTTCCTGACTGCCCTTCAAACCGCATGGCCGAGTTGCGGCAGTCTCGCTTTCGCCCGGGAGGCGCAAAGCAGCTGGAACCACTCCTCCGCTCGCCCCAACCTTGGCACCTGGGGGCCTCGGGTTAGGACCTTGGCAGCTTTTAGGGGGGCTGGGGGGAGGGAGGGGAGGGTCCGGGAGCCCAAACAAGCCCTAAACAAGGCCTCAACAAGGGCTAAATAATCGATTTTTTGGGGCTCCTCCCCTCCCCTTTTTTTCCTCCCAGCCCCCATGAAGCTTGGTCGGAGTCCTTTGCATCTTCCACGTGCCCATTCTGCAGCACCACCGCCTCACAGAAGCTCTCCCTATTCAGCTCGAGGTCCTGGATGCCTCGGGAAAAGTCGGATGCATCGTCTCACCTGGAGCTCTCCATCCTCACAGCTGACCTCTCCATGGCCAAGCGGCTCGGTTCCTCCATCCGGGGAGACCCTTCTTGCAACTCACGGGACAACAAAAGAGATCGGCGGCAAATTGAGGCGATCACACAACAAACCGCCCACGCAACAAACCCTGAGCAAATAGGGGTTTAACTGGCTGACATCAAACCCGTCACCTTGCAGTGCTTCACACTTGATGCCTCGCGCCGAAATTCCGCCGCGATGCCCTGCAGCAGCGCCCGCTGGGACCAGCTGCGAAAGCCCTCTCGTGGGGCGGCGCGCCTCATTCCCGCTAAGCCCTCAGTGCTCCCGCTGAAAACGCCACTAACGGCCTGGCCATTGCCGGCTCAGCCAAGCCCCTGCTGAAACTCATGCATTCTGCCCCACCGCCCAGCGTGAATTGCACCTTGTGAAAGAAAAGTGGCTCTTGTCCAGGCTAGGAAATCGAGAAATATATCCATCTGCACCACTTTAAGATTCCGTGCCAGTCCGAGCGAGGCCTCTACAATACCTCCGAGTTCTGCTTTGGATCACATCAGCTGGCGTGGCATGTCCTCACCAACTATATAATTACATGCCAAAGAAAGGTGCCCCTCCTGTCGTGATCCAACCCAAGCACAACCCACACATCCACACACACACACACACACACACACAGGGCCCATGGGCAGTGCTCCATCTGCAAGGGGGGCACCCCTTGCCCGACAGCCCGCCAGCCGTGGCACGAGAGCGCAAAAAGCAGCTGGCGCTTTGGGATGGTGGCCGCATCCTCCGTGCAGCCCTGGCCATCCTGGTCAAACGGCCGTGAAAGGGCAAGCTTTTGCCCGCCTCTCGCTGCCCGAGGGTGAATGATGACAAGCATGTCTTGCGGCAGAAGTGGCATAGTAGGGAACTGACAAAAGCCTGCTTGGTTTTCCGGACGCCGCTTTTAAGAATGAGAGCTTGCAGTTCTTTTTCCTGGAACTGAACCTGCCTGGATAAGCCTTCAATGGAAACTGCCTTCGGCCTTCGGCTATGGCAAAGCTCCTGCAGACCGATGAAGAGCTTCAGAATGCCGGCCTAGGCTCACTCCATCGCTCGGACTCCAAGCTCAGCTCCCAAAAAAAGAAAAGCCTCCCGGCCTCCAAGCGCGCAGGGCGCGAGGGCAGCAGCTCATGCTCCTCTGGAACTGGCCTGGAAGCCCGGAATAATCAACCCCTGGTTGATTAAATGGGGGGATATCCCCTTTTAGTGGGGATTCATCACTTTTCGAGGGAACACCCCCCTAACAATGTGACGTGTTTGTTAATCCTGGGTTGAGAAAGCCAGAAAACCATCTCCAACCTCTGCTCTGTTCACCTTTGCCTCTCACACTTTTTCCCCAAATAGCTCAAAGCCGTAGGGGTTCTAAATTCCAATAATGAAAGGACACTGATTTGCGAGATTGACGGCTGGGTGCTGGGGGTCGTGCAGTTTGGGGTGCTGGTGTCGGTGCTGTTTGGGAGCTGCCGATGAATTTTCTATCATTGACGGCAGAGCGCAAAAACGCGCCCGCGCGTCACCAGGCCCCCCAAAACCATGCGGCCGCACCATGCGCCCGCACCATCACCAGCACCTCACATAGCACCCCAAACAGAATCCCAAAACAGCACCTGCGCCAGCACTGGCACCCTACCGCCACCAGGCCGTCAATCTCGCAAACATGCGCCCGCACTGTCACCAGCGCCCCCGAAACGGCACCTGCACCAGCACCCAAACTGCATGCCCTAGCACCCTGCGGGCAGTGCTGTTAGAGGTGTTGACGTACAATCCTTAGCACGCATTTTGCTATCTGGGATCTATGCTGGTGTATTTGTTTTTTTTGAGGAAAAAAAAAAGTCTGCAAGAGCACCAGCAAACACCTGCCGAGCGGCGCTAAAAAGTCCACCCTCTCCGGGTTCTCCCCAGCCCGCCAGCTGTCACTCAAGCCCGGGCTGGGCACGGCGAAGAGGCCGCGCAGCTCGGCGTAGGTCAGCCTAAGGCCCAGCCCCTTGCTCAAACAAAAGGCTGGGCATGGCTGGGCTTTGAACCCCCAGATGGAAAGCCTCAAACCAGGCTGCATTGGCAGTGCAACATCTTCTCTGGCCCCCTGTCTGGAAGGTCCCAGGTGTCACCGGAGGAGAAGCAAGTGTCGCCACAACTTTTGCCAAGCCGCTCCTCCCTGCAGTCCTGAAAGGCCTAGCGCGCAGCTCGGCAGCTCGTTTTCGTCTGGTTTGGTGACCCTTGCCTCCGCCCCAAACACGAATGGGATTTCTGCCAACGGGTTTGACAAACCCTGAAACACTCAGACCCTGCTATCCCGCCGGCCTCGTCGAGCGTCCAGCACCTTGCGAGGAGCCACTCCCTGAGTTCTGCCACGCCGAAGGGCAAGGCTGGCACGACGTCCATGCTCCAGAATTCGACCCAACGAATTGCAAGGACAAGGACAAGCTAAATTTGCGCAATCTCGGCGTGACGGGCCGAAGTCAAATGCAACGGCTGTGTGGGCTCATGAGTGATACAGGTTTCTTGCCAATCTCTTTGGGCACACCCGCTCATTGGTTCCAAAGTGAGATTGCTTGGATGTGCGCAAGTGTCAGCCGAACATAGCAGACCGGACGCGTATTTCTAGGCTGACTATGCTGACTCTTGAACCACAAAGCCTGCAATACCAAAGGCCAGCTTTAGCCCGGAAAAGAAAAAAATCTGCAAAGTGCAGGAAAATGACGCAGGCCTTGCGCAAGGCATTCTGGTTGATGGCTTCCTTGCTGCTGGCACCAAGAATTGAAGAACAAGCGCAACAAATGCAGCCTGAGTCGCCAGCCCAAAGCTCGTGATTATCGATCCCAACCTCCCAATACAGGTGATGACAGCTGTAGCTGCATGAAGGACTTTTCAGCGCGGCTTTTCAACATGCCCAGCGCAAGCCCACGCACTCGGCGCCTTCCAATATGCCCACAACCAGTAGCTCAGCTCCTGACTCACGCGAGACGCCCTTCCGCCCTTCCCTTCCCCCCCAAAACCCCCCCGCAGTGGTTCCATGATCGATGGGCTCCTGGGAGCCCAGCTCGGAGCGGCCCAGAAACTCCACGGCCTAGAGTTTCAAAAACGCGGTCTCAGCCCATGGGCTGGGGGCAGTCTCATAGTTTGTAGATGTTTGTAGTTTGTGCGTGCCACATCCACAATGAGGGGACTTTGGTGGACTGCTTGGTAAACTTTGCAGCACTCCAGCCAACCAGAGGAATCCGACATTGAACCACGCCCGCTTGCAAGTCCTCAACAAATCCAGCTGTCTGCATGGAGATCTCCGCCATGGCCCACCTTGCCGCCGTGCCGAAAAAGAGCGAGGCGCTTGGCGTAAGCTGGCGAACGCATCTCAGGCCGAAGCATCATGTTGACGAAATCCATGGATGTGAGCCTGGCCCTTTTCCTCAGAACCTGTCGGCGCATGGCTGGATAGCCAAAAACATGCAAGCTGATCACTTTGCCATCGCGTATTGCTTGTGGCGTATCTCGCGCACACTGCCAACCAGACTTGTGTCAATAGCCACATTGCCAAGGACATGTTTTTCTACAGTCATGACTATGGCCTGCCTCTTCCACCATGCCCGCAAGGAGCGGCCGCATCTCTTCGCCCAAATGCGCAATCTGAGAACCACAAATCGCCATTGGCCAATGTCTGACACATCACCTTGATGCCTCCGTCGAGCAACACTCCGTGTTACATGCGTGAAATACTGCGCGAAGTACATTTGCAGGAACGGCTCCCAATTTGATCTGCCATGGCCCGACTCCCATGCGCGAAGCTTGCCACCTCCAGGCACCCAACCGCCCAAGCGATGCTGGCCAGCTCTCTAGGCTCCATGTCGACGAGTCGGCAGCGCGACTTCCTTGGTCCAGTCGACGAGCCGGCCGACGCCCAGCGCAGATCGGAAATCAAAACACGAAACGTCGGGGACGCGGGCTGAACTTTGTCTGAAGCGACAGAGCAAAACCAGATCTCAGGTCCTTGCTCCGCAATGATGTGCAACAAATTGCTTCCGACCTCGCCCCCCCACGAGCTAATTCTACGAATAGCCTTCCCCTCCCCAAAGGCCTCATTGGCTTTGGCTGCCAACTGAGCAAAGCTGCTCAATTGAGCAACGTTCAGCCTTGCAAACAGAAGATGCGCAAATAGCTAAACACTCCTCAACTAAGAGCTGCTCTCAGCCATGTCGTTTGCAACCTGCAGCGAAATCCTGGCACTGCGTTAAATGCTCCAACATCAGATGTTTGCGATAAGCCTCAAACACATGCAAATGGGCCTCTGCACAAACATTGCATCCGCGAGATCTAGCCTGCAAGGGTCAAGAAATGTTGGACCTGACTTCATTGTGCAAGTTGCGCATGATTCAAGTGCACATGGGTAAAATCATTTCCGGAAGATATGCGAACGTTTCTTCTTCTAAACCGGCTGCACATGTTACACGGCAAACATCTCCCTCCAACTGTGTTGCTGAATTTGCTAGCTATCCTGTTCTCATTACACGAGCCAGGCCGCAAAACAGCTTAACCCTGTGTTGCTGTTGTGTCGCTTGTCGGGCTGTGAGGCTTGGACAGTCGAAGCACATGCTACGGCCCCAAGTGAGCTCAAGTGAGCTTTCACTCGTGAGCTGCACGCGCCTCAAGCGACGTTCCGCCGTTGCGTCCGTCAGTCAGTTTCTCGCTGCGCCGTTCCGCACCCGCGTCTGAGGGCTGATTTGTAAATGTCGCCCAGGTGTGCACACAAGTCCTTGCAAGAGGCGAATGCCTTGGCAGGGCGGGAATGAGACCCTTGTTCGCGGATTGATTGAGTTTCGCGGGGGTGGGTAGCTCACCAGCTGTTCCTCGAAGAAGCGGGTGAAGAGGCAGAGCACGCGATCGATGCTGCACTGCGACCAAAAGCTGCGCCCACCTTTGCCGTTGCCAACCTTGAACTGCAGGCTTGAGCACAGCAGGGGAGGGGGAGTTGCCAGCTGCCCGAGACTTACAAACTCCATGATGCCCGTCCTCAACAACGAAACTACTTTCCAAGTGGTCCATGTCACAATGCTGTTACCAGGGCCGAGCTGAGATGCGGCCCTGCGCGAAACGTGTCGTGCCAAGGAAAGCGCATACCCTGAGCTCCTTCGGCCCGACTCGCGCTGCAGGTTGGTTGTCCTTGCACTTGATGTTGGCGGACGCTCCAGCCCAGAAACGGCAGCAACGCGCGGAAAAGCAACATGCTCAGGACGCCCTGAGGCCATGCAGAATACGCCTTGCGCGTGCCTTCGCCGACATACCTCCTGTCTCGTTTTACCCGAGTGGGTAACAAACCTACAGCAGTCGAATACGCGTCGTTGACCAGAGGGGGTTTGTCCACAGGCTCCGCATGGGATGCAGGGGACATGGGTCGGACACGCGTTGTCGATCCATCTGCACCCCTGGGCCTGATTCCTCTGAGCAACTCTGGTTCTGTTTGTTTCACGTCTGTTCTGGGCTTGAAGCAGCCCGACAAACCAGCCTGCGACGGGCCTTGCCCGTCGCGATCCCACTACCAGCATTGGGCTTGCTGAGATCTGCCGTGCGGCAAAGGAAGCGGGCAACCTACCGCGAATCGCCTTAACCCCACACCCGCAGCGGTGGCCTTCTGTTGGGCAGTGCTTTTCTTGGCCAACGACTTTGTGAGGTTATTGAAATGAATTCACACAAGACAGGGCTGAGACAAGCGTGGTGTCGACGGCAAGTTGCATACCTCCCCACAGAGGCAAGCCGTTGGCGATGACCTCAATCCTCCGGTCATCTCCTGGCACGCTGCCGATGTTGAGCTCCGCGCGCGGGTGGCAGCAAACTGCATTTTCTTCCGCAGATTTGCAGCACGTTCGTGCCCGCAGTGACAGCCTTGACGCAGCATTCGCTGCAATGGTTTTGCCTAATGCTGCCTGCGTGCATTTTTCGAGTGTTACTTCTGAGGGCGCTTGCGCATGCCATTTCCCTTAGTCTCAGCGCAATGCAGGTGAGGCAAAGGGCAGGAGCCTTTAGGTGACCACCGCTCCGCATGCTTGCGGACGGGCGTCTCGAGAGCTCGCGGCGGCTGCCCACATTTGCTGGTCCGTGACGCCTGCGGAGCCTCAAACTCCTGTTGCGCGAGCTGGGCGCCTGCGGCCAGTAACTGAGCTGAACTAGGACGGGGCATTTTGCTCGAGTTGGCGCAATGTCCTGCAAGGTCGGGATCGGATGGCTGGCAGGCTGTCAGCCCACGAGGCCCACAACGCCGCCGCAGGGGCGCGCAGTTGGGCAGCCCGCAGCCCGAGCCCGCCGTGTTGCAGGGCGAGCTGTAACTGCCGGACGGCGGGAGTGGCCCCCACCGCAAAACAGTTAAGTACACAAACGCCCTTTTGCAGTGCCGCATCGTGTTCCGCGGCAAAATGGCGGGTGAGCTCTGGGTGTATGATACGGAGGGCATAATTGGACCAATGCGCTGTACAACAACAGAAGCCAGGGAAGGGGCGCACTGCGTTGAGTTGAGCCAACACGAATGCATCGCACTTATGATCCCCTACTCATAAGGACCTGATGCATATCTGCAGTTTTACGGTCCCCCCTCGACATCCGGGAGCCAGGACATGACACAAAGCCTCCTTCAACCGCCAGAGTGACCTACATCTTGGAGAGCGTTGTTGGGTATCGTTATCCAGGCAAGACCACAAATGGAGCACCTGTGTGATACACCCTTGCATGCCCTCGCATGACTCAAGTGATGGCTATTTACATATGAACCTGGTCGCAAATACCTCAGCGCTCAACACCCAGCCGCTCAGCATTCGCTATCCGCTGCACGCAAGCGCTCTGCGCAGTCATTCAAACCCGCTTACGCCCAGCGGCCGGAAGCAGATTTCGTGGTGCGACAGCAGATTTCTGGCAAAAAAATCCGCTAGCGCGCTGGCAGATCCGCGTACGCCAGCGGCCGGTAGATTCCACGTGGGGAGAAAAAACATAAAATCAAATGCATAAGGTACCTAGGTCCCCCCCCCTAAATGCATTTTCCTAGAATGGGGGATGCTTGTGTCCGCAAGACCTGGCGGCTCAACTGCAGCTGCGTTCCACACACGGGTTTTTTACGCGATTGAAAAAAATGCGGGCACGTTCATACGAGCACCGGGACGCGGCCTGAAACAGCGGTTGTATACGATCAGGCTGCGCTGTCAAGTTTGTTTTCCACGAACCCCCCCCGGAAACAGGCAGCGCCGAAGGAGGCGAGGAAAAGGAGACGTCACCAAGGTCCGGCCCCACATCCGCAGCAGGCCACAAAGGCGAGAGCCAGGCGCCGCCCAACAAGGTGACCACCACAGCGCGCTGAAAGGCGACGTCGTGCCGCGGGAACGCGGAGGGAGGACGAGGCGGCGAGAGCG